AGACGATATGGGTAAGAGGGGAGTGAGCGAAGAAATGGTATATGATAGAAGAGTATGGAAGGAGCAAACATGTTGCGCCGATCCCAGGTGACTGGGAGAAGGGCAGGATAATGATGATGATGATGTGGTGACGTACGCTTCTAACAGTAAACATTAATTACAAATAAGCTCAGTTTTCAATACTAATAATAATTACGATAAATGCGAATGTGAGATTTATTTATTTCTCTGTTACGCTTACACGTCCCAGCTTCTAAACCGATCATTATGTAATTTTGCAAAGAGGGTGTCATGGGTCATGGGTACATAAATAGACACAGGACTACTTTCATCCGGAAGAATACTCTTCCTACGAGATACAAAAATTACTTTTAGACTGTCATCTGGTATGAAAAACTAGAGAAAAATGCAATGTTAAGCTTGGAGCATAGAAACAAGTAAAGGAAACTGTAGTATTCCGGAAAAAAAAGCTTGAAACAGGAACGGTATTAACAGAGCACAAAGGTAAATATTTCACGTAGCAAATACCTCAAATTTGGAAATGACATAGTTTTCCCGTCGCAACTATAACTAGTACGTTCGCGTGTATTCAATATTCAGAATTTGGGAGTATTAGCGCAAAGTAAAGGACCATGGAAAATAAATAGCGTTCTAAAGTAATGCTTGCTTTGTAGCCCCTGCGTCCAGATAGCGTATTTAAAACAACGATTTTTGACAACAAAAATGGTGTATGGCTTGGGTTCAAAGTATTTATGCTTAGAAAAAGTAGATACTGCACAATGTTGCAATTTATAATACAAAAAATCTTAAAGCATTGTCTAGTTAGTTTTTTCTGACCCCAAAAAGTATAAAGTTTTTCTAACTAAGCTCTAAACCTAAGTGATATATTCATTAAAATTGAATTTGTTTGACACAGATAGAAACTTTAGTTCGAAAGTCCATAGCAGACACTAAATACTTAATATATAACCACAATAGTACTCGTAGTTACACAACTACAGTTCTTTGAATTGAAAACTGAAATAGTAATCAACGTAATTAATTGGGATTTTTTGTTATAGCCTACAATATAATAATAATATAATGAATATTAAAATAGCTACAAACAATATTACCCAGATGCCGGTCAGCGAATTAACCCATAGACACACACAGCCCACTGAGTTTCTCGCCGGATCTTCTCAGTGGGTCGCGTTTCCGATCCGGTGGTAGATTCTGCGAAGCGCTACTCTTGCTAGGGTCAGTGTTAGCAACACTCCGGTTTGAGCCCCGTGAGCTCACCTACACACGTTAGGGTGAAGCTGTGGGGTCGGGGTGCAGTTGAAGTACCTCGGCCTCGTGTTGGACAGCCGGTGGGCCTTTCGTGCTCACTTTGCGGAGCTGGTCCCCCGATTGATGGGGACGGCCGGTTCTTTGAGCCGGCTGCTCCCGAATATTGGGGGACCGGATCAGGTTGTGCGCCGTCTCTACGCGGGGGTGGTGCGATCGATGGCCCTGTACGGTGCACCTGTGTGGGCTGAGCCGCGCAACCGGGCCACTATGGCTCGGTTCCTGCGCCGGCCGCAGCGCACCGTTGCCATCAGGGTCATCCGCGGATATCGCACCGTCTCCTTCGAGGCGGCGTGTGTTTTGGCGGGGACGCCGCCATGGGAGCTGGAGGCGGAGTCGCTCGCTGCCGACTATCGGTGGCGCAGCGAGCTTCGTGCTCGGGGCGTGGCGCGTGTCCCCGAGAGTGAGCTGCGGGCGCGGAAGGCCCATTCTCGGCGGTCCGTGCTCGAGTCGTGGTCGAGGCGATTGGCCAACCCCACGTGGGGGCTACGGACCGTCGAGGCGGTTTACCCGGTCTTTGATGACTGGGTGAATCGTGGCGAGGGACGTCTCACCTTTCGTCTGGTGCAGGTGCTGACCGGGCACGGATGCTTCGGGAAGTACCTGCGCCGGATAGGGGCTGAGCCGACGACGAGGTGTCACCATTGTGGACACGACCTGGACACGGCGGAGCATACGCTCGCTGTCTGCCCCGCTTGGGAGGTGCAGCGCCGTGTCCTGGTCGCAAAGATAGGACCTGACTTGTCGCTGCCTGGCGTCGTGGCGTCGATGCTTGGCAGCGATGAGTCATGGAAGGCTATGCTCGACTTCTGCGAGTGCACCATCTCGCAGAAGGAGGCGGCGGGGCGAGTGAGGGAAAGCTCTCCTCACTACGCAGAAACCCGCCGCCGCCGAGCAGGGGGTCGGGACCGGGGTCGTATCCGTGACCTGGCCCCCTAAGAGCTAGGGGTCCCACCCGTTTTGTGCGGGGAGAGACCCAGACGAGGGGTGGCGTGCTCTGCACGCTCACCCGCAATAGGAAGCCGGGTGATGGTAGACCGCGTTCCCCCGACCGCTCTGGGGGAAGGTGTAACGCGGCGCCATCAAAGCGGGCTCTCGGCCCGCTGAACGAGGGAACCGGTGGTCGTTTCGCTGGCGGCCACCGGTCCGGCGTCCGTGGGACGGTGGGATGGATGTAATGTGCTCTGCGTCAACCCTGTCCCGCCGTTTCAATAGCCCCGACTGGGCTCCGGCCCGGTCCGAGGTAGGGCGCCGGTTGTGAGCGGCAGGAGTTTTTAGTGAGGTTCAACTCCCACATACCCCACCTGCCGCGCGGGTGGGGATTCGGCGATTTTCTCCTGTGGAAAAAAAAAAAAAAAAAAAGGGTGAAGCTGAAATAGCCTCTCAAGGCTATCAGCATAGGTAGGAAAAAAACCCAGATAAAATTTATGAAATAATAAAATGAACTTTACAAGATACACTTAGAAAAACAAAGTTATCAGAATTAGTTGGTTACATAAAACCGACAACATTCATCCTCGTCTACATTACAAGTGAAATGCGAAGTCTAGCTCTACCGAGTTAAAATGAGTTAGTCTGCTTTGTAGAGATATTTAACGATAGAACAAAGCAACGTTTCTATTTTACTTTGGTTTCGTAATGAAAATTATACCGTACAATTGTTTTATATACTTGAGCTTGTTACAGCTGTTACTTTAAGCGTTCTTGTTTGAAGAGAATTAGAAATTAACATTAGGAACAACTAGTTAATATGTATACGTTACTGAACAAGCTTAGTATTATGCAATGTATTGTATCATAATGACCTATCTCTCGAATTCACGACAATGGATTGAATAAATTTGACTGATTAAATTATATTGATCGCATAGCAAAGGTACAAAAAACATTGTCTAAAAATAAATTTGTTTTTGATTTTCTAGAGCTAGAGTTGTAGTTACTATTTAAAACTGATAAGTTAACCGCACACATTGATAAGTATTCAAAATGTTGAGTATTATTATAAAATTAAAAAATATAATTAATTGACCTCAAGCCGAATGAGTTTGTAAAAAACATATATTATCGTCTAAATTTATTTGTCATGTATCTATAATATTCTACAAAAAATATATTAAACAAAGATTTGTTTTCGAACATTTGTTCGAAAAACTATAAAAGTATAAGAATTATCAACAAAGTAAATATTAGTCTAGTCGACAAGTTAAAAATGGTGTTAATTCGACATACTACTGCTAAAATTATGTGGTTTAGCTCATTCGATTCGGAATAATGTCTAGACCATTGTGCTAAAAAATTGAATTAGCACATAAAAAATTCCAAAAGTTATTAACAATTAAACACCTTCAAAAAATAGCGTTTCGTTTATTGCTTATTGTCCGTAAACTATAAATATTTTCGAAATTTGAAAAAAAGATCCTTAAAGAGGAGGAAATTTAGTAAAAAAAAGTTCCAACTCCCGGAACTGTAGCTCCATTATTTATAATTTTAATTTAACGCTGAAAATAGCCCGCCGCGCGCCATTGTTAGGTTGCGCGCACGGCCTCGAAAGCGAGTACGTCACTTAAAAAATTTTTTTTCAAGTACTTAAAGTTAATTGAAATATAAAAAAAAAATATTGCATAATCTAAATACTTTAAAAAATTTATTCCCGTTGGAATTTTTTATATACACATAATTTTAGCAGTAGTATGTCGAATTAACACCATTTTTAACTTGTCGACTAGACTATATCAGTTCTAAACGTCTGAGTAAGCATCAAAAAATTTTTTTCTGAATGGAAAAGTTAAGCGCCATCTATTGGGCTATTACTGTGAACAAGTATTTCAATTTTTGAAAAAGTTCTTGTAGTTTTAACTTATGCTGGTAGGTGGCGCTGATATCTCTATTTATAGAAAACGTATTTATTAGTAAGATGAAAGCTCACCTGGCCCACTGGCGTAAATGCCACCACCTCTTTTGAGACATGAGTTCTAAGGTCTCCGTTTTAAACAATATAACGACTGCCCCACCGTTCGAATCGAAACCCATTACTGCTTTAAGGCAGATATAGGCAGGGTAGTGATATCTACTCGTACGGACTCACAAGACATCCTACCGTCAGTAAAATTACTTATTACCTCAGAATACTCTTGTATGAATTACAAAGTATCTAATATAGACAATTTCCATTCAGATCTGCCAGAATTTATAATTTCTCGGTCATTGGTCGCCAAATTATATATATTCATCCAAAATATTTAGACTTTTTTATAATTGTATTTGCAAAATTGCACGAATTTGTTTAATAAAATACTTTTTTCTCAGTTTATGATGATGCCAGTTTTCCGGCAATTCCTCTAGTCGCCTTATAAGATACCAACGGTAAGATTTGAAATGGCGCTATTTTAATTCTAAATCTGTGGAAAATCACTCCAGTTGCTCAATTAATTTTATAAATAGAATAGATTTATACCACTACTTTTTGAAAATATGTTAAATAATTATTTGTAGAACCAAAAATACGGTGAAAATATAGAGTGCTTAATTTTACCGATTGACGCCCAGTATGAACACACAAAAGAAATTAAAAAAAGCGGAAATTTTTTCAAAATTCCTATTTGTTGTACGTTTTTCTTTTTGTTAGTATGCATCGAACTCGAAATTAGTTTGAATAATAATTAATGTGTTACCTTGACCGCCTCTTCGACGTCATCATCTCTAGACGCTTTCGCAAGACTCTTCTTCATGAGCTGATACATCGTTTCTCTTCTTAAGTGACCTTCGCCGAGAAGATCGTAACACTACGAGCAGAAAAGTGCAGGAATTTTTTTATGATCAAAACATTGTGAAGATTAAGAAAAAAAATGTACATAAATAAACTAAAACATTATATACAAAATACCCGCCACTATCTTGTAGGTAATAAATACTACTATAATTATATCATTTTGTTTTCGAGCGATGAAATTATTGTTGCTAATAAAAAATGTATAAACAAAAAAAAAACAACTCGTCAATTATGCGATTCGTCAGTAAATTTCCATAAATTAAGCAAAAATGCGGATTTTCTAAATTTGTGTACCAAACAACCAATGTTAAATGAAGCTAAATCAAAGATCTACCTATATCTTCTAACGAATTAATCACTATCTAATACATCGAATAGCTTTGACAAATAACCCATTTATTTTTTAATTAAATAAGAACATTGTAGTTAAAGACCTAAAATTTAGCTTGAAAATTTCAGGATGAACAAATAAATTATCTTCATGAATAGTTAGATATATTCATTGCTTTATGAACCGGTACGAGACGAAAAGTCCCTACAAAGTAATGCTACTAATAACAACGAAATTACTGTAAACGCATAAGCGATACGTTCTTCAATATCACCACGTAAATACAATGATATAGCCTTTGCAAAAGTTGCCATCGTAACGTAAGGAGACGTGCCTCGGTCGAGAGCTACCATCACACGTTCCATCATGTATGAATCCGTCATGCCTAAACCAGTATGAAGCACATCTCTGAAATGTGACCTGAAACACATTCTCTATTTTTAATATAATAGAACAAAACTGAAAAGAAATGTTATCTATATATTAATTAATACGTGAAGAAAAAACTTTGTACCCCTTTTTTTACGAAAATTACGTGGACGAAGTAGTATGAAATTGCCCACACTTATAGAAAATATAGAGAAGGAGTGTAGAGTGTTAATATTTTTATTTAATTACGCATAAAAAATATCTTAAATGAATAACAAAAACATTACATGCACTACCATGTATTTGACACACACACACGCATATATACGCTTTTGTTACTTGTTAAAGTCTGTGGTGAAATTGAGAATAGATTAATACTGTTTGTCTTCAATATTATTTATCTATAGGTAGCCTTAGCGAAATTTGTTGTTATAGAAGTCTATTATAGCCTTTGACAATAGACAAATTAATAATTTTCAATATTATAATTTAAATTAATTATTGTCGAATTTCGACTACCACTAGTCATAATAAAACTCTTAGGGTAAAATAAATCAAAACTGCTAGGAAAAAGAGATTTAAATCCGGTTTAGCATTTGGCATAAGCTAGTGATAACATATATTGTTTTAAATAAAACTCTTTTACACTGAATTAAATTTCTTACGCATCCTTTCTGAACTAAAAATAAATGTATCCGGTTTTGCTTTTAAGTACAACCGTCCGTACTGTTAAGTTTACAGCTGACGGAACCCTTGCTCTCGTAAAATATAAGTCACGTTACGTGCATTACAATGGGACGTGTACAGTTTCAAGTGTAATCCAGTGCTTGAGAAGCACACGTAGAGCGGTACTGTAAGCTCGTTTCGGTTTTAAAAATGTAAACTTTCGAATATAGTACAATGCAGTTTCCCTTTTTACTCGGCGACCGTTAATCTGACATACTGTGAGGCGGAGGTAGCGTAATTGGAGCAAGCCAGCACTACTCTAGCTAAAAATTTATTTTACGTACCTAGATATTAAATCGGATGCAGCCGGCTTTTCGTCGCGCTTTTGTATCTTGAAAAATATAACCATTATTTCTACAACAAATATACATTTATATTCCTGTTAATTCTGATCAAATGAATTGAGAGATTCCTGTTTTCAAAATATAACAAAAATTGTTTTTAGTCGGCCAATTTATTACAATAATTTATAATATTATAAACAGCTAAGATCTTTTCTAATTGAAATTAATTTCGAACGAAGTATTTTACTATTTTACTATTTCTATCATTATGAGTTATAAAAAATATTCAACAATACTACAATGTTTTACAGCTGGAAACGATCTCATCTAGACCATCGTATAGTGGAGAAATTATTAAAAAAAAAAAAAAAAAATTAATAGATCCTTCACTTATAATTATCGAGTATACAAAATAATACAAACTATATGTAATGAAAACATATTTCTTAATAAAAATCTCAGATAATTTACAAAAACAGAAAAAAATTAGTTATTCATTAAAATAATACACATATACTTTAATAAATATACACAAAAATTACCTATATATTAATAATATGTATTTTAAATAGAAACTAAATTACTTAATATCTTTTATTAGAAATTGTAATTAAAGTGAAAGGTATTTTAAAGGTATTTTTAAATAAGGTTATAAGTTAAGGGTAAGGTTATTTTTAAGGTTTTTCTTAAAAGGTTTTTTATGATACATAGCATAAGCCGTGTTCTTGTTATCATAAAAGTACAGTAAATCTCGGATTTTTCAGGATACATACCAATGTTAATCATTAATATTATTTTGATCAAAACATAAAATTCAAGCGATTACCGTAACTAATAAAAATTTCTGTCAAGTACTTTTGCACTGTTTTTGAACGTAATGAAGGTAACTAAGTAAGAAACTATTTATTTAATTATCATTAATATATCATATCAATAATAAACATCTATTACACTAAATGTACGAAAAAAAATTACTTTCTAATTCATCAAAAGTGAAGTGCGTATCTTTTTGTATTTCCATCCACATAGAGCCATGTTTTTTTCTAAAACGTATCTCCTCCATTGGATCCAAGGCTGAATCAAGTGATGTCGACATTTTCAGTTAATTTTAAGCTCAAAATAAAGCACAAATTTATTCAAAACTAATAAAAATCTACTCGTTCGAGTAAAATTGTAAACAAATTGTGTTATTTGTCAAGAATGTCAAAAATAATATAATTTGTAATAATATAAATAAACTTATAAGCTCTATACTCCGTCGTAGAGGTTTTTATTGAAATAGTCCTTTTTGCACTGTATAATAATAATCTCTCGTCCAAAATCTATAAATACAAAAAAAAATAGATTTTTGGCCGCAATTTAGATACCGGAAACAACCCCAACTATTAACATTTCCGAAACCAGAATCCTTAACTATGTCCCTGTATACAGTCAAACATGGGTAAGTTAGAACTGGATATGTGAGAAAACTCTATAAGTGAGAGTAAGAGCCAGGACCCGTAATTTTACGCTCCCAAAACCTCTATTAGCGAGAAAGAAACAGAAACCTTGGTAAGGGAGAGCCGTTTTTCCCTCATGAACCTCCGTAAGTGAGACTGCTACTTATCTATACCTCTATAAGCGACAATCGATCTTTATTTATATTTATATTATTTAGGAGGAACAAATGACAAAACAAATTACAAATTTAACATCTGCTATTTTATGACTCATTCTTAAAAGGCTTATTACATTTGGCTGAATTTAGTCGACTGAATTCAGAAGCAAATTTAGAAGCTTTTGATTACACTGTTCTAAATTCAGTTACTGAATCAATTGTCAGTTTAAACGCGACGAAGTAAGACGTGTCGTGCGCGTAAGAGGATGGCCCCAGTATTGTCTAGACAACAACATCTTTTTTGTTTTTGTTTTTTGTTTCTATTTCTCAAAAAAAAAAAAATATACGAGAATATCGGTGAACTTCAGAAATTATCTATAAATGGATTCGATCTCGTTTGACCTGATATTAAACCTTGTGACTATCCTTCGATAGTCTTTTATACTTAGTCTGGCCATAAATACTGTTACAATTAAAAATAAACAAAATATTACATTTGAATTTGGAATCTGTCATTTTTATATGATTGCTCATTGAGTTTTCTCATTTTGGCGCCAATACATTGTACAATATTTTGCGATATTAAAATGGAGTGGGGTGATAAAGAGAACCGAATCGCTGTGATTGCATTACACAAAGTAGGTATGGAACCAAATGCAATTTTTAAAACTCTCCGTACGCTTGGTATTAGTAAAATGTTTGTGTACCGGGCTATTAATATGTGCAATGATATCTCCTCTGTTTGTGACAGAAAAAGATCTGGCCGTCCACGTAGTGTTCGTACGAAAAAGGCGGTCAAAGCAGTAAGGGAAAGAATTCGAAGAAATCCTGTCCGAAAGCAAAATATTTTATCTCGGGAGATGAAGGTAGCACCTAGAACCATGTCGCGTATTTTAAAAGATGACTTAGGACTTGCAGCCTATAAGAGACGTACTGGTAATTTCTTAACTGATAATTTAAAAGAGAATAGGGTGGTAATATCGAAACAACTACTGAAGCAGTACGCAAAGGGAGGTCATAGAAAAATTTTGTTTACGGATGAGATTTTTTTTACAATTGAGCAACATTTTAACAAACAAGATGACCGTATTTATGCTCAAAGCTCTAAGGAAGCTTCCCAATTAGTCGACAGAGTGCAACGTGGGCACTATACGACTTCAGTGATGGTTTGTGTGGGGTATTAGCTATGAAGGAGTGACTGAGCCATACTTTTGTGAAAAAGGTATAAAAACATCGGCACAAGTGTATCAAGATACCATTCTTGAGAAGGTAGTAAAGCCCCTTAACAACACCATGTTCAATAATCAAGAATGGTCCTTTCAGCAAGATTCGGCGCCAGGTCATAAAGCTCGGTCTAGGCACTCTTGGTTGGAAACGAACGTTTCGGACTTCATCAGAGCTGAAGACTGGCCGTCGTCTAGTCCCGATCTTAATCCGCTGGATTATGATTTATGGTCAGTTTTAGGGAGTACGGCTTGCTCTAAACGCCATGATAATTTGGAGTCCCTAAAACAATCCATACGATTGGCAGTGAAAAATTTTCCCATGGAAAGAGTGCGTGCTTCTATTGATAACTGGCCTCAACGTTTAAAGGATTGTATTGCAGCCAATTGAGACCACTTCGAATAAGCTTTTTATACTTTATATTGTTTTATATTTATGTATTAAATTATCACACTGTAAAAGTAATAAATGTTTGTTGGATGCTTGGGTTTCTTGAATAAAACTCCCACAATCGATTTTGTGCTTGTATTTCCTTTTTACAGTGTTTTTCTTGATTTTTACATTGCGAATAAGTTAGCTATGCACGGCCATTAATTGAAGTGTGTAAAAATGGTGTAGGTAAATACCTATATAAATAAAATTTTGTACATTGCTCCTTAAAAATTCATAGGCGTTAACATCCTCCCCCCGTTGAAAGTCGATTCTTCGGGTTTAAACTCTCTAGTTCTTCTGCGGTAGGCAAGGCACACAGACGAACCAACGGGCGATGCACGCAGCCTCTAGAAGTATTGACGTCAGTGACTCACCAGTACCCCATCCTTTGGACCATAAAATAGTCTGGATATGCGTCCAAGTCTCCAGCAGAGAGGAGGAACATCATCTTCTTTCAGCAGTACCAAATCTCCTACATTTGGGTTTGAAGAATTGGTCTTCCACTTGTGGCGTTGTTGAAGCTCAGCAATATATTCACGCTGCCAGCGCTGCCAAAAATGATGATGTATATGCTGTAATCGAGCGTAGCGTTGCAGATTATTGTAGTTGCAGTCTTCCAGCACAGGCGAAGGAAGAGCAGTGAGAGCCCGGCCAATGAGAAAGCTCATGGGAATCAGGCAAAGGAGGTCATCAGTTGGTGAAAATACAAATTTTATTCCATCCTCACTTGCAGAATCAGATAAAGGTTCAGAGTTTATTTTGAAAAAAATATTGATTTCTTTAGAACCTGCTACAAAATTGCGTCCGTTATCACAGAATACCTCAGCTGGCCTGCCCCGGCGTGACAAGAATCTGCGAAATGTCATGAGGAAAGCGTCTTTTGATAAGTCACTAATGGTGTAAACAAAAGTTAAAGGTAACATTTAATAATAATGGCACCGTGGCCCTTCCTATTAACAATAAAGAATGGTCCGGCAAAATCTAAACTCACAATTTTTGATGAGAAACTTGGCGTGACGCGTTGCGATGGTAAGTCTCCCATAATGGGCTGCATAGTTCGTCCTTGTAATCGTCTACATTTAAAACAATTACGAATTCACGAATTATAGCTAGTAACAACTGTGGTCCAGCATGAAGATTGGGCTTGTGTTCGTGTTCAAATAAAAGTTTCGTAAAATTATGTGAGGCATCTAAAAGCACTGGATGTTTCTTATCAAAATTAAAATCAGATGCATCCAATCGACCACCTACTTGTATAATCAACTCATCATGAAAGAATGGAGTTAATGATAAAATTATTTTGAACTTAGAGATTTATTGTTAGCTAGTAACTCATACTCAGGCGGAAATGATTCTCTTTGAGACAAGCGGCGTAATTGAAGAAAGGAATTATTTAGTTCGTCAACAGGTAAAGAACCGGTAAGTCTAGTTTTAGATTTTTTAAGTTATTTATAAAACGCAGTACGTAAGCCATTGTACGTTTTAATGTAGTTAAATTAGAATAGTTTTTGAAAATTATATAATTATAGGATCTTTATTTTATATTAATTATAGTATAATATAGAAAAATTATAGGATACTACTTGTTAAGTTACTTATAGTTGAATTAGTTTTAGTTTCTAGTAGATTTGTAACGTTTATTTTAGTTTTTAGTATAGGCCAGGTATTTTCAGATTCAGAGAGGTACGGCGGGCCTAAACACCACAGCGTCGCGGTATTTAGCTAATCGGGATTGACACCTCTAGATATAAGATCAGCCGCGTTAGATGATGTAGGCACATGACGCCAAGAGGCAGAATTAGTTAGGTCATAAATCTCAGAAATTAGCTTTACAACAAAAATTTCAAATTTTGAAAACTACTATGGAGCCAAGCACTGGTTTATAATAGGAGACTCCTATAAATTGTATGTATTGTGATTTGACTTCTGGTTGCTTTCGGAATCGTCTTTCTAAATTCAATAATCGTAATTTGGCTAAGTGGAGCAATTCGCTCATTGTTATGAATTAAACTCAAAAACGTGTCACGGAACTCAAGCGAACGGAAATATGATCCGTCAAACTTAGCAATCTGTATTTGGGGCAATTTAAATCCTAAAACATCATGATGATCGATATTACACTGAGCTGATGACTGACTAGAGCTAAGATCTTTGTAATTACTTTCGTCATGTTTACTTGCATGATGTTGTTTAATAATACTTTGAGCGGAAACGATGTTTGTAATAAATAACTGCTCAATGTCATCTCGCTCATCAACCTCGTTTGTCAAATCACTACGATTCAAAACCTCTATCTGAGTTTGCAAGTCGTCAAATCGATTTGACAGTGACTCAAATTTGCTAAGCTTAAGTGTCAATTCAGCAAGTTCAAGAGAAGTTAGTGTTTCCTTTGAGCTTGTTTGAGTTAAATAATTCCGAAATTTATTTATTGTCCCTTTATGGAGCTACGTTTAACAAAAAGATCCAGAAAATCTTGAGAGTCTTTTGCACTATTTTCATCTCCCGTGATAAATAAAAATTATAAGTTTCTAAAATATTAAGTTAAAAATTTGTAAATTAATTTAATAAAATTAAGTAACTGGTAAAAAGAAGCGATAACACAAGCAAACCTACTACGGATATTGAAACTATGCAAAAATAGAATAAAATCTGTTTAGTTAATAAATGAATTAAAAATATTAAAGTTATCTCACGCTCCTCGACTAGACGTCACCTGCATTAGAGTCCGGCCCTGCTGCACTCTCACCCGGAAGCCTGGGACACAGCGGGGCTGAACTTCCTTATCGCAGCCAGTAGGTAACGTGCGAAGGCGCACCGTTTGTCTGGAATGTTCAGCTAAATAG